GACGAGCTAGAAGCGAAAAGGCCATCGGTTCACATCTCACCTGCGAGTGAATATTGAAATATGAGATTTCGGACGAAAGACACGCTTCAGAAAACTAGAGTAATCGCGCGCAGGCGCAGCGCTGCAGTCTCGCGCGAGTGACAGCATCAGACCGCGCGCTTCGCATCGTGTGCCACTAACCGAATAAAGTGTTTTTCGCAATAAAAGATTACAATACAATGATTATAATTAAACTATTGTCCGTAGCAAATACCACGGGCAGGTAGTAAATAAAGCCAACAACTAATATAAAACAACCGATTAAAAGTGTGTATTTTAAAAAGAACAGAACAATCGTGCATGGGGTAATAATATTAATAATAATAATGCTCTCAGATTCAACGTATAACAAAGAATAACTCAATTTACCCATATATTTTTCTTTGATCAGATAAGTTAATTAAACTCGCTTTGTAGCGCTGTAGTTCACATGAATGCCCACAAGAGGGCGCAACACCTTTATGTTTATTAGATTGAATTTGAAGCAGTGTAATTCACAAAAACACATTTAAGTTCAATAGGCTCGATTTTTAGCGCTGTGGTTTCGATCATCTCAAACATCTGACTTCTGAAGTGAACTTAAATGTGTTTTGTGAATTACAGCGCTGCAAATCGAGTCTATTGAACTTGAATGTGTTGCGCCCTCTTGTGGAGATTGTTGTGAATTACACTGCTTCAAATTCAATCTAATAAACATGCATGTGTTGCGCCCTCTTGTGGAGATTGTTGTGAATTACAGCGCTGCAAATCGAGTCTATTGAACTTGAATGTGTTGCGCCCTCTTGTGGAGATTGTTGTGAATTACACTGCTTCAAATTCAATCTAATAAACATGCATGTGTTGCGCCCTCTTGTGGAGATTGTTGTGAATTACACTGCTTCAAATTCAATCTAATAAACATGCATGTGTTGCGCCCTCCTGTGGAGATTGTTGTGAATTACAGCACTGCAAATCCAGTCTAATAAACTTAAAATAAACAGGTTGCGCCCTCCTGTTGTGCAAGTGTAATTGGTTATTTTTCCACAGTGACAGTGATGACCATAAACATTGTATTATTTAAAAGAAAGCATAAAGTCTTGATGTTTTAAACTAAAAAATTAAAGTAATAAATTCTAATGTAATAGACCAAAAATAGTGGTGAGCCCAGTGGTTAAACACTAGACTCATGAAACCGCTACAGAGATGTGCTCAAATCCTACAGACGAAGTGACTGTCTTTTACTCAGCCTAAACTTGTGTTCAGATCAACTTAAAATCTTTATGATCCAGAAAACAACCCCAGCGCAGCATCACAGCCTCTGTGGCTCAGCGTTTAAAGATTTCAGTCTCAAGCACCAAAGTCTGAGTTCAAATCCCACAGCTGATAAAGTTATGCATCATTTACAACAAATCTCTCAATAAAATCCTGTTCAAAACCCTCATCAGCTCCACAGACTCAGTGGCGCAGGAGATAAAGCTCTGTGTTTTAATCGTGGAGGTCTGAGTTCAAATCCTGCTATTGCTCACTTTAAACTGATCTCATCCAACAAAGTCACTCAAACTCCACAAATCAATGTCAGATCTGTGACGGTCCAGTGCATAAACACATGTTCTCTGAACACAAGGCTGAGCTGGAGACGTGGGTTCAAATCCCACTGATTACTTTAAGTGTTTTATTGGGAAATCACGGGTAAACAGTCAGATAAAAGTTCCTTCATGTGCTCCAGCAAGAGACCTGTGGCTCGCAGGTAAGAGCGCTGCCTCATGGGTTCAGAGGTTGCTGGTTTGATCCCAGCCGGGTCTCTGCGATACGAGTGAATGCTGGAGTGTGTGTGAAGGTGTGCCTGAAGAAGGGGGAGATCAGTACGGTCTCCCCCTGGAGCTTCCAGCACCGTGACCCGCAGTGGTTATACTTTTAGACAGGCTGAAAAATAAAAATAAAGCTGTATTAAAAACTTTGGTTACCATCATTTGCTTCTCAAAGAAAGGCCCTCCAAAAAGCAAATGCTGGTAACCTCCATGTTTAGTGCACTAGAACACACATTCACACGAGATACATTACCTGTCCCTGAGCAGATGGCCATCATTACAGTCAATGTCTGTCCACACGTCCCAGAGCTCTGCTTCAGCCGGACCACTTTACAGCCAACAACACATCACTTATTCTGGAGAGACACGACACAAACACAGACATTATCAGACATACTGCATCTAAAAAAATTAAAATAAATTAAAAATAATAGTTAATAAGTGTAAGTTAGCAACATAAATTGAATTCCTAAACAATGCAGAGTATAACATCCTTAAGTAATCAGTTAAGTTAGTTCAATGGGCTTTTCTCCCCGGTTTCTTTCTTTGGCAGTTTTAATTAAATAAATGTGCATATACATTTACATTTTGGGTTTAAAAAATATATAACTGCTTCAACATAAACTGCATTGAGCTCGTTTATCCACACTTGTAAAGCAGAAACTGACTACATAAACCTACGAAGTGTAAAAACAAATATATCGCAGAGTATATTATACTTCAGTAATACTGTAACAGTAATATTTTGGTTGATGCCACTTTTCTCCCCCAGTTTAGTTCCATTGATGTTTTTCACTAAATAAATGCATTTATACATTGAGTTTCAAAAAGATTGAATATAGAATTGCATTAACTAGTTAATCCACTGTTGTCTAGTGGTCTAGAATTGTTAAATCACTAAATTATAGGTAGTAAAGAAAAAAACAAAAGCACTAAGTGTCTAACAAGACAGAGAGAGTTAGAAGATGGGACTGTCTGAATGCACTACTAGCTGTGCAATAACAAAAAGCTTTTTAAGCATGATTTTAGTTCCAATACCTCATCAAAATTCAAGTTTTGAGGCTTTCAGTCCAAGTGTGCTCGCTTTGTAGTGAGACACATTAAATGCAACACATCCGATCAATCATAACATTCACCTAAATTAACTGACAAAGGTTTCTGCTATGGAATATCTTATGAGTACATGTACAGTAAATGAACATACTTTCCAGAAGGCCAACAATTCACTAAAAATGTTTTTTTTATTGGTCTTATGAAGTATTCTAATTTGTTGAGATAGTGAATTGGTGGGTTTTTGTTAAATGTGAGCCAAAATCATCACAATTAAAAGAACCAAAGACTTAAACTACTTCAGTCTGTGTGAATAGAATTTATTTAATACACAAGTTTCACAATTTGAGTTGAATTACTGAAATAAATGAACTTCTCCACGACATTCTAATTTATTGAGATGCACCTGTATAAACTGAAACTACTTACAGGTGAGTGTTTTATCCCACAGTGTGTTGGTTTGGTCTGCGCTTGAGCTGAAGTATGTGAGGTTTAAGAGACATTTAAGAGCAAATAATCTGCAGGAGCTGAGCGTGGTGTTGTTGTGACTGTCATCAAGCGTCATGTTGACAAACAACCGAGGAAGAGAGACTCCGAGTGAAGGTGAAACCCGCGTGCGCCGCCTAGTGGAGCGGATGGAAAACAGCACTGTACTTTTTAGTGATGTGACATGTGGCGAATTAGTGCTCTGCATTTAACCCATCCAAAGTGCACACACACAGCAGTGAACGCACACACACACACACACACACCGTGAATACACACTCGGAGCAGTGGGCAGCCATTTATGCTATATGGAGACTGTATGCATACTTCATACGAGCTGCATGCATACAGTCTCCTATTAAATACAGCTCTGTGGCGCAGAAGGAAATTGCTCGCTTTGGAAGAAAATCAGCAGTAGGAAATAAATATATTTTGGGGATACTCAGGCCTGGTTTCAGCATTATGCACTTACCAACTGAGCTACCAGAAAAGAGCTTTCAACACAGCCACTTATGCCGGCTTAATGTCTCTCAAAAAGAATTCAAAAGCTTGTATTTGATTTGGAGCCTTGCACTATGCAATAGTAGATTTAAAGATGAGAGATGTAATGTACAGCTTCAGCTTTGCCTGTTATTAATGCACATTGCAGTTAAAACTATATTGAAACAAACAGCAAACAACAGTGAAGTGCTGCTACTATTTCACAGCAAAAAGGGCATTTACATAGACATAAAAACAGGCTGTTTAAATCTAAGAATCTTATATATATATATATATATATATATATATATATATAGTGTGTGTGTGTGTATATATATATACATATATATATATATTTACATTTAGTCATTTAGCGACTTACAAATGAGGACAATGGAAGCAATCAAAATCAACAAGAGAGCAATGATACACAAGTGCTAGAACAAGTCTCAGTTAGCGTAACGCAGTACACGTAGCAATATTTTTTTAAACATATAATAAATAAAAAGAAAACAGATAGAATAGAAAAAGAATAGAGCAAGCTAGTGTTAGAGGCCTTTTTCGCTTATGTTAATTGTATAATAAATGAAAACAGATAGAATACAAAAAGATTAGAAAGCAAATGAATAGAGTGCAAGTCTAAAAGGGACAAGTGTTTTGTTTTTTCAAGAATAGAATTAGAATAGATTAGAATATATATATATATATATATATATACACACTGCTGTTCAAAAGTTTGGGACCAGTAAGATTTTTAATGTGTTTTAATGCAGTCTCTTCTGCTCATGTCGGAATTTATTTGACCAAAAATACAGAAAAAACACTAATACAGTCAAATATTATTACCATTTAAAATAATGTTTTTCTATTTTAATCAACTTTAAAATATAATTTATTTCTGTGATGCAAAGCTGAATTTTCAGCATCATTACTCCAGTCTTCCGTGTCACATGATCCTTCAGAAATCATTCTTAAATGCTGATTTATTATCAATGTTGGAAACAAAATCTCATGTAAAATCTTATGTTAAAATATATTACATGAAAGAGGTTTGGGAATGACTGCATTACATGTAAATAAGAAATATCATGAATTTGTGCTTTTTAATGTGTTTGAAAGATAAAAGCTCTCCAAAGACATAGTAATACATAGTTAATGAATAAATTTTTTTTTAATTATATACATTTTTCAGCATAAAACCGCATACATATTCAGATGTTTTTCATTTGTGCCTTTATTACGACTTATAAAACAATGCATTTATTAAAAACAACTACGCAGAGCCGTATGCATTGTGAAGGAAGTCAACGACGGCAGACGTACTGGATAGATTATTGAACACCCTCCTCTCGGGCTGAGAGCTGATGCGCTCCAGCATGTAAATCAGGTGATGGTGGAAACAGGTGAACGGGGTCCCGTGTTCCACTGCGATGTCCACCCAGTCCCACACGCACTGCAGCGGGGTCTCCTCGTACCCGGCAAACATGGCAGGATTGGCCAGCAATCCCCGAGCAGCCATCACGCCTGCAGAAGGGCAAAAATATCAGATACAAATACAGCTGAAACAAGAAGAGTAATGAAACCAGATGCCAATTAAATGGCACGCACCGTCCACCCCCGTGAGCTCGTAGACGGCCTCCACGTCCTGCATGCTCTTGATGTCACCGTTAGCGATGACTGGGATGGAAAGACTGTCCTTGATGGTCTTAATGGCGTCATAGTGAACAGGCTGGTGCCTCTCGTCGGCTGTACGACCGTGAACTGTAATCCAGGAGACTCCTGCTGCCTCCATCTTCTGACAGAGATCCACCGTCTTCCTGACATCTTTGTGAATTCTGAGGACAGGTCATACTTATTTATATAGAGCGTTTTCACTATGCATATTTCAAAGCAGCAAAAACAGGCAGTTGAGATATTTTATGTAGTATATATATATACATATATATATCACTTTATGTGATTAAAATAAGATAAGACTATATTTTATCCCCAAGGGAGAATTTAGACGTTACAGCAGCATGGACAAGACTGTACAAAAAACACAAAGGAGAATGAATAATTTTATATAAAAAATAAATAAAAATAAGAAAAAACTTAAGCAGACTAAGTGAAATAAGTAGGAAAAAACAACTGAATCACTATAAACATCAAGAATATTAACATCCACTGAAAAGTATTGCACTTAAGAAAACAAGAGAGCATAATTACACAGAGAGCAGAACACACAATAATATAATAACAGATATATAAATATGAATAAAAATGATAAACAAATTAATAAATATACTGAATATGGGTAAATATACCATACATGTGCATATAAAGATAGACATATAATTATATCCAACTTTATATAAAGAGCTGGATGATAATTTAGTTACATTTTTGTGGGGGGGGAAAGGCAGTTGAGATATGTACATGTAGTATATATATACTGTTTTATGTGAGTATATTGTACGTATGCAGATAAAGTTGGACGTACATGTATAACTAACTTTATATAAAGAGCTGAGTGATAATATAGTTACATTTTCAGTTAAAAATCAGGCAGTTTTGCTATACGTGGAAGACTTGTGGAATCATTTTGTTTTGTAAACGGTCCAACAATTTAAACACCTTTAAAATTAAATAACACATTTTTTGTCAAAAGAAAAAGAAAAAGATAACGTTTTCTAACAAAAATACAAGCTTCATATTTTCTGCTTGTAAATCGTATTTTCTCTGTAACGCCGTGTCCCTTTGACTTCCTTTGTAAGTGCAACCTTGAATATTTCTTAGCATGAACGTATTTTCTAGTCAAGAAATCATATGCTCACCTTATTTTAATGGATACTGCATAGTTGGGATTGTCGATTTGGTTTCGGACATGTCGAACCATGTCTTTCACTAGCTCAGGTTTGTTAATCAGACACGCACCGTAGCCTTCAGACACGGCCCATCTGCAACGAAAAACAAGTGAAATCTGCAGATCCTACAGATGCCATCTATGCAGAACATGTTCTAAGTTCAATAGAATTAAACCACCTGTCAATTACAAAGTTAGACATTTCTTCACCCCCACTTTGTTAGTTTATTAATTATTCTGGGTAATTTGATTACCATTTAGGTTTAGTACCCTTGTCTCAGTTTAACACAGTTAAATCCACGTTTTGCATTAAATTCAGACTGAAAAATGCACAAAAGAATCAGCAGTTTGCATCTGGCCCTGCACAGCATCTTTAGACATATATGTTGAGAAAGTCTCTAGAAAAACCTACAATTTATATTTAATTCACTGCTTTAAAAATCTTTGTGTGAACTGTCATTGAGGGTAAATATTTGTGTATTTTTATGTTCTCTGAGATCACCTTTGTGGACAGCCACAGTTCAAATCCACCCCATCGGAGAAAGGGGAAACCACACACGCCGCATCTGCCAGCGTCTGCGCGTCCTTCGCAGCAAACTGCACAATCAAGGGTCGGTCAGCTAAGAAGCAAACAAACGTTAAAATGATAGGAGTAATTATTGAGCAGAAGGCTGTGCCAGTGACTCAATGAAAAGTAAACGGTTGCTTGCATCAAATTAGTCTCACTGAGGTCAAGGAAGAGTTTATGAGTAAACAGAATAATTTCCCCAATAACAAATGTTGGCAATTTTACACCAATAAAATATTCGGACAATTAAATGTTCTCCTGTCTGGAAATGTTTTTGGAAAATGAGTGAAATCATTTATGGAAAATGTTAATGCTGTGCAGCAACATACAGTATGCATGATGCACAGTATGATTTCTGAGTGAAACAAATTTTATTTGAAAAGGTTCACTAATTTTTCAGTGGTTCAGCTAGGTCTGTTAGATTTACATTTGTTTGCTTCCCCTCACCTAGAGCAGGGGAATTTAGCTGAAATAATCAAAGTCTGTTAAAAGCGCATGCATATAATCATGCAAAATTAAATAAATACTTCCCATCTTAATTCTGGCTGTTAATGTCAAAAGATCCATGCTCAGATTTTGTTATTTTAGCATAGATTCTACGGTCACTTGATAATATAGTTAATAATAATATCTGGCCAACTGTTTTTGCATATGTTAAGCTGGCAATTTTTATGCATTAACAAAATTATTAATTTTCCTATTTAACCAATCTCATGTTGTAATTCTGTAATAAACCCAGCATGGAAAAAAGGAAATGCATACAAACAAAAAGATAATCATTCTGGTAGAATATGTTAGTGAATATTTAGTTTTCTCACATCAAAAACTAAATAAATATTTTACTTTTTTTTGTGTGTGTGCATATTTCTTGAAATATTATTGCAATTTAAAATAATGGGTTTCTATTTTAATATACTTTTAAAATGTATTTTTTTCCTGTGATCAAAGCTGTATTTTCAGCATCGTTGCTCCAGTCTTCAGTGTCACATGATCCTTCAGAAATCTAATATGCTGATTTATTATCAATGCTGGTTAAAAAGAACAGCATTTATTCAAAATAGAAATCTTTTGTGACAAAATACACTACCGTTCAAATACCGGGTCAATAATTTTATTTTTATTTTGAGATAAATAAATGCTTTTACTTATCAAGAATGTGTTAAATTGATGAAAAGTGATAAAGACTCAAATTAGAAAATTTCACAGGTTCCAAAAAACAAATAAACAGCTAAACTGTTTCCAACATTGATAATAAATCAGCATTTAAGAATGATTTCTGAAGATCATGTGACACTGAAGACTGAAGTAATGATGCTGAAAATTCAGCTTTGATCACAGGAAGAAAAATACATGTTAAAAGTATATTAAAATAGAAAACCATTATTTTAAATTGCAATGATATTTCACAATATTACTGTTTTTTTTCTCTATTTCTGATCAAATAAATTCAGCCTTGATGAGCAAACCCCTTGAGAACCACCGGTCCACTAGTTGCATGAAGTACAACTCACTCTTATTAGTGGTGAATTCACTGTCTCTAGCTTTTGCAGAGCGCATGAAATCAGCTGCAACGATCATTGGGGTGAAACACACATCACAGTCATATCTCCTCACCAAACATCTGAAGGCCAGCCTGAAACAGCAAGAACAATCAACATAGGAAACCATTCAGAACAACACACATTACAGGAATCAACAGTGCTGTCTCACTTACTTTGAGTAGCGGACCATGGGTGCACACACTCTGACTGGCCTTCCCCTGTGAAACAGGTCCGTGATGTTCCCACTGTCCATCGGGAGTTTATTGTGGACCTCTGTCATAAATTCCGCAGTTTACAACCCTAAGAAGTCATTGGCAAGACGCGGTTCAAATACTCCCGTATTAAAATGTATTCCATTTTCATTACAAACAGGATACATGTATTCCGTAAAATATAAATAAGTAAATATTAGAGTAAACACGCGTGGTTGCAACCGGCGTCATTAGTTTCACATGCGTAGTAGTTTTTCTCACTTCCGCGTTTCGGTGTTGGTGGGTGTGTTTAACCTTTGACCTCGTATCCACGAGAAAAGAAATTCGCGTTTATTTGCAATTATCATGTGATAAATAATTTAACAGAATACATTAGAACATCTAAAATGAGTTAAATTAACATTAGCATAAAAAGGTGTCCGTTCGCGAATTTACAATGATAAATTAAACTCGTCGGTAAACTAATTAATATTCATGACCAATCGCCGCCCGTCGCTCTCCTTTCATGTCGTGACGCAGCAATTATACGTCACTGATGAAGTGGCAGTGATGGAGGCCAGTCCGGAATCAACAGCGAATTCACTGCTGAAAGATGGTAAATCCAGTTTTAATATGATTTCTCCGTTTGATCTGTATATGTGCATGTGTTTGTACGTATTAATCATCTCGATCGGCACTTTTAGCTGCATTGTTAGCACTTACTCTGTGTAGCCGGATCTCCTGTTGTGTGTTTTACAAATCCTGATCCGTCTCCTTCCAGAGTGCTACACTGATTTCCTTAAAGAGGATTTCGATGTGAAGACGTACACAGCTCAAGCCATTCATCATGCTGTCATTGCAGAGCAGCTGGCAAAGCTGGCAGAGGGCATCAGTCAGCTGGACAAAGAGCTGCACTGCCAGGTGAGTCACACACCTGTCAGGATCAACAGCTTTCAGTGCAGATCTTACTATTAAAAACTACCAATTAAACACATTAGAAGTTGAATGGCAATGTTTTGTTTTGTATTTGATCTCAGGTAGTGGCCAGGCATGAGGATCTACTAGCTCAGGCAACAGGGATCGAATCTCTCGAAGGTGTAATATTTCATTATCTGCTTCATATTTTAAGATCACAATCATCAGGCTTGTGTACTGCAAACACATATCAGCTTCATCACTGTGTCTGTCACGTGACTCTGTTCGCCTTTCGGGCTTGAACTGATGGTAAATCTAATGACATTATTTACTGTCTTTTCATTTATTTTGAAAGATGAAGCTGCGATTATGGTAAGGGGCGTTACATTTCCGACGAGCGCTTGCGGTGTTCGGCCAATCACAATGCACTGGGTCAGCTGGCCAATCAGAGCAGACTGCGCTTGTCGGAAGGAGGGACTTTGTAGAAAACTAAGCGTTTGAGAGAGGCGGGGCATAGAGGACCTACAATAATATACAGTATTTGAAAAATAATGTGTTTTTTGAACATTAAAGCATGTCAACATATTCTGTTACACCAAATACACCAAATAATGATCTTTAAAAAAGCATCATATGACCCCTTTAACGTTTATGCAATGTTATAATATTAGTTTCAAAATGAATGAAATGGTAGGAAATGGCTATATAAAAAATTTGAAATATTCTGAGATCACATATGTAGAAGTTGCAGTGTGCAACTTTCCCCCCTTCTAGTACATTTACAAATAGTTTTTTACTCAGTTTTCAGGGAAATAATCTACGACTTGCCTATAGATGTCTCGGCATTGTAATCTGGGATATTGAAAGTTGTTAATATTAAAACATTGACGCCATCCCTGCAAGGACTTCAGATGACGGCAACTCTAAAACATTTCGAAACGGGCAAATTTTCCTTATATTGCAATCATTATGATCGCAACATGTAATCACAGCTTTTTTTGTTTCATCTTAAAAGAATATGTGACGTTAACCAACTGCATGATTCATATTATCTGTCAAATGGACATTGAGAGATAATACAGTCACCTCTGATAACAGATTACTCTTAATTATAATGTAGAAAAAAATTCTGTAAAGATGCTTTGAAATGATATGTATTGTGAAAAGTGCAGTACAAATAAATGTGAATTGAATTGAATGCACATGTAGTTTAGCAGCTGTCCACCTGGTGGATCCTTTGTCACATCTCTTTCTGAGCATGGAAATGATTGGTGGTTTTGCTTCCAGGTGTCTTACAAATGATGCAGACCAGAATTGCAGCTCTCCAGAGTGCTGTGGACAGGTAAATGAATCTATTAAAAGCACTGAAATGGTCCATGTTTTAAAAAAAGTGGTGGTCACATGCATAATGAATAGATATCAGAAAATGCGCAATTTGTGCACTATAAATTGAAAATGGCAAGCACCAGTTAGTGAGATGCTTTGTGGTATTTTTTTTATGCATTTCTGATTTCACTCTCCTTTCTTTCTCAGGATAAGAACCAAAATCGTTGACCCTTACAATAAGATTGTGTCGCGGACAGCCCAGCTCGCCCGCTTACAGGTTATTTTATAACTTTTACATCTGCTTCTGTCATCTCATGTCTCTCTGTCCCTGGATATTCCAACAGAGACATTCTGCAGAACTATTATTTCTTCATTGTCCTGCTTTACAAACACTGTGCGCATTCGCTCAGAAGCTTGATTTCCATGTTTATTGGCTCGACATCTGAGATAGATACAACCCTGTCTTCACAAATGTTTGCAGTCATGACAGATTCTGTAATACAACCAGCATGCAAAACAAAAAAGAAAAAGAAATGCACACAAACAAAAAGAGTCATTCTGGTGGAATAGATGTTTTTGAATACTGATTTGTGATTATCATCTAAAAAATAAATAAGTAAAAATACAGATTTTCAAAATATTTTAACACATCTAAAAAAAAAATAATTTGCATAAAACTAAATAGATTTTAAAAATTTTACCATATCTAAAAAATAAAAAAAATATTTTAAGAGTGTAATTAGTATGACCTCATATATCTCTTAAAGGAATAGTAATTATTTATTCACTCTCATCATGTCATTCTAAATCCATAAACTTTTGTTTCCAAAAATAAACATAAAAGAAAAACATAGTATCTTTGTGCAGAATTAATTTCTGTAAAGTTCCAAAACCCAAAAAAAAACAAGTCCATAGTGCCTGTGTGCCATTCCATATCTTCTGAAGCTTGTATGGTCTACCTTTACTGTACTTTTTGTTCTTTATGTAACTTGACAGATGTGGTCACTATGTGATGTCATGGTAAAAAGCTCAAAACATCTATTTTGTCTGAAGGAAAGTCATTTGTGCACCTGTGGGGAAATAAAACCTGTGTTTCTTTGCTATTATCTGAGTGTTGGAAGAAAGGCAAGGCAAGAAAAATGCACGCTTTTATCATGTTCGCTTTCTGCCCTCGGTTCACATGATGTCATCATGAGTGAAGCGTCAAGTCTGCAGAAAAAATAATAATAATTTGGACCTGGAAAGGAAGGGCCTCTCTCACTCTATCAGTCACACACGTGAATACCCACAGCTGTCCATCCCGCTCGACACATCTTGTGGATTTACAAGATTTTCGGTCCTGGTTTTTAGTAGCTTTGGGGAATTGTTATTAAATATGAATAAAATACAGCTGTGGTTATGAAATGCTCCCCTTTACTCTCAAAACCCCTTTGTGCCCCTTTTCTTGTGCGGCTTTTTTGAAGTGTAGAAAATACATTTGCATGTTTATGTTTGCTAATCAGCATAGCACCATCACAAACTCCATGATGATCTGTCTGTGGTTTGGACATTGTTTTGCATGCAGCTATATACAGGAAATACATTTCTATTTCACAGAGGGGAAAAAATACAGTTTGTTGAGTATGGATCACAACAGGAACCTAATATTTGTTTTTACATTTATAGAAGAATACATTTGTTTAAAATACGAAAATATTCAGTCTCTGTAAGAATATGTTCTTCACCAGTGTGCTTGAATTATTAGTGGTGATTGCAAAGGCATGTTTTATCGCTTTATATTATCGCTTATGCATTTTTTCTAAAGATTAAACACATAAACTTACCATATTAATACAAGTTAACAAAAAAAACATGTAAGTAACCCATACACTATAAGTTAGACTGTGACCTCTCAAACTGATCTAAGTTTTATATACCCTTCAATAAAAAGTAAAAATGTTCATTTATTATATAGATTCTTGTCTGAAGGTATGCCAGTGTGGTTTTATTGTTTTAACTTGTTTATCTGTCCGTATTAGAAAAAAAAATGATAGACTGTATTTTGTAGTTGTAGTATTTAATTTTTTTGTGTGTGTTTGACTATATCTGATGACACAATCAGATTCAGAAGTGTGGGACTTTGTTCATTTCATGCGGTCTTTGTATCTGGGTCTGTCCTGTCCTTGCCTTTAGCAACACATTTTAATTTATTTTTATTCCTCATAAGAATAAGACCAGACCTGACGATGGGGACATAGCTGAATTTTTTTTCCCCCTGTTATCCTTTTGTAATTTTCTGATGCACTGTCACCCCTGGACAAAGCAATCAGACACACACACAAAATCAGATGCATGTACCTTTGGGACAGTTCAGCTGCACCTATTCACTGAAAACCAAAAAAGATTGACCTCTACGAGTCCTTCATCTGCCTGCTGTCTGCCCACAGGCTTGATTGTCGCCACACTATATTGAATGTGTGGCTCAGTTGCATGTTTTAAGCACAAATGCACTGGTTTAAAAGCATTTCCTATTTCTTTTATATTATAGTGTCTGTTGGCTGTTAGGGTGTGAACAAAATGTTTATTAATGCCTTTTTATGTGTGTGAAATGCACTGAAAATGAATTGACAGCATATTCTAGTGCTAAAACAACCCTGTGAGATGATGCACATCCTTCTACTTGATTTAATTAATACAAGATTGATTAAAGCACGACTTGCAAATTAATTCTGAATCTATTAACCAAGATTTGGGCATCATTGTCATTACCTTATTGATATTTGCTTGTGCTGGCTATCATAGGCCCATAAGTCATTGTGTTATTTGATGAACACAGGAATGAGAAGTCTTATCTTATTCTGGCTGGCAGGTGGCGTGTGACCTGTTGAGGAGGATTATTCGCATCCTGTACCTGAGCAAACGGCTGCAGGGGCAACTGCAGGGGGGCAGCAGAGAGATCACTAAAGCTGCCCAGAGCCTCAATGAGCTGGGTGAGTGACCTATCACGACGCCGATACCGATATGGTGGCCGATATATCGTGCATCCCTAATATAGAACCTTTCATGTGATGTAAAGTTATTAATGAAACCATAGATGCCAATAAAGAACCTGTATTTTATAAGTGTACCTATTTTTCTGTAGTTATGGCCTTTTTTTTCTTATAGAATTGGGTTGTCTGAGCATTTAGCAATGTTACATTTTCTGTTTTAGGCGCTGGCTATCATAGGCCCATAAGTCATTGTGTTATTTGATGAACACAGGAATGAGAAGTCTTATCTTATTCTGGCTGGCAGGTGGCGTGTGACCTGTTGAGGAGGATTATTCGCATCCTGTACCTGAGCAAACGGCTGCAGGGGCAACTGCAGGGGGGCAGCAGAGAGATCACTAAAGCTGCCCAGAGCCTCAATGAGCTGGGTGAGTGACCTATCACGACGAGCATCTACTTTACTCATCGTGTAGCCTTTTTCCACTATATAGAACCTTTCATGTGATGTAAAGTTATTAATGAAACCATAGATGCCAATAAAGAACCTGTATTTTATAAGTGTACCTATTTTTCTGTAGTTATGGCATTTTTTTTTCTTATAGAATTGGGTTGTCTGAGCATTTAGCAATGTTACATTTTCTGTTTTAGGACACTAATGGCAGTTGTTCAAAAGTTATCATATCCTCCACTTTTGTGTAAATGCCATTAGTTCAATCTTGTACTGTTTCCAGGTCAGCCCCGTTCTTGTGGCCTAAATGTTTTGCTGAGTTTGCTACACAGGTGCGAGGACTGTCTGAAACTGGTTCTGGAACTGTGTGACCTGCTTTGGAGATATTTTTGGTTTTGTTTCATCGAAACCCCGTTGATTAACGTCTGACCCGAATAGCACTTACAAGGGACATCAGTTCCAATAGTGACCTGAGTGCATTATAATAATCTCATAGAGCTTAAAGTTGACATGAAATCAAAGTTGACCCCATTTATTTTCTTAATGCACGCTCCAGGTCGTTTTGGTGACGTCAGCCCTCAACCCCTCTCGTGTCATATAGAGAGCACCTTTCCTGATCCAGTCAATTCCTGTTGCATCAAATTAAAGCCTGTCCCACAGTTTTTTTTTTCCATGTTGAAAATCCTGTTTCTCTAGAATAGCCACATTTCAGAAGTACAATGAGTTGAGACACTGGTTTATGTTGACTTTAAAGGGTGTTGAATCAATTTTTACCTTGTCATTGGCATATTATTGTCTGAGATTCATGTGGGTTGTGGACATTATCTGAAATGTGAAACTTTTTCGGTCATCATGGGTTTAATGGCTGTAATATCAGATTCATATTGACTCGTACTCTGTTGACCATTTGTTTGTACATTTGCCTAGATGTCATATGGACAGATAAATAGTGCAATGCAAATTCGGTGTGCTCTTATTTCACGTTTGTGTGACACAGTAAACACGCGTCTTCATTATTGAGTCCCAGGCCCTGTGGGATAGATTCCAGTGAAGATCAGCAAGGTACTTTTTCCTAGTTTCTATTTGCATATTGTTTTCAAGTCAAGCTAAATCAATGCAGGTGAACATAAGTTTCCCATTGTGTATTTGGAGGGCATGCTGATTTTTGCATTTTCCACTTGCATAAGCTCTGTTTGTGAGTTGCTTCCTGTTAGCATTTCAATTCAGTCAGTTATGAGTTTCCACAGTCTATGTTGGCACTAGACAACATGGCAGCTCACTAGCTTCTGGAACCGAGCTGTAGTCTTATTCTCTTTGTGACACAATATGATTCAGTAATTGATGAATTATTTATCATGTCAAATTGAGGGTCATATTTGGATTCTTCTCACCCAGCTAATGGATTACAGAGACATCTTTGCATTAGCGTCACCATCCATGACGAGACAATTAGACTGCACTAACAGCACCTGTCCTTTTTTTCATGCGATGCTCTGCTTTTATGCCTTCCCTCCACCCCCTCGAGATATAACATGAACAGGCAGACTCTGATATGATATCATTATCTGTTTGTGCACCTCTCTGGCATCCAGCGTAGAAAGCTGTCTAACAAATCTCCCATTAGGCAACCTGTTTAAAAATATACTGCCTTGCACTGGTAGAAAAGCTTTTTGTCTGTAGGTTTTGACCGTGTTTATGGTTCATGCTAGATCACAGTTTTCCAAATACAGCAGTATGCAGCTCTGAAACTGTAGAAGCAATTAAATGCTTTCTTTGTTTTGAAGCCTGTCTCTGTCTAGTGCACGCTGTCCTCAGATGCTGTTACAAGAAACCTGACGAGGTGCAGTTGGACAGTAACTGGGTCGAGCTTGAGAGTTTATAGAACTGCTGATAGCATCATGTTATTGGATTGTAAACAAGACAATCAGTAAATGATAATGGACCCTTGAATGTTTAACTGACAAATTGCTTTCCTGTTTACCACAACTGTATGAGACGTTAGCTGAGACATCATTGTGTTCCAGCGTAGGGTTGATCGGATAGGCAGCATATACCTTTCTTTCTTTTTTTTACCCAAGTGACCAGTATGGCATCAAATCAAAACACTCAAATCTTCTTTGTCATTAACTTTATAGGCCATTTGTTATTTTCTTGGTTTATCTCACTGCGTACACAAAACGTATGCCTGAAATAGATCTGAGTTATGGTGGTCCTAACACAATAATGACAGCTTACCATCTTGCTAACATGATTTATGAATCCCTTCCCAGCGATGCTAGGAATGGATGGGCAGCCAGATGGATTGATGAACAGTTGAAGGAGCACTCTAAATGGCTTAAGGGGAAGATTGACTAGGGCAGTGGAAGAGGTGAAGGGGTTTTGATTGGTGGAGGACATGTGTGTCCGCCGTAATGGAATGATTAGAATGAGAAAACATGGGCAAACCGAAGGAATGAGGCTGTTATTTGGGAAAGGAAATCAAAGTCAGATAAATGTCAAGAGCTGAGATTGACAGGAAGTAAGGTGAACTGCATACTGCAATCTGTTTGGGAGACAGTTATATATCTATATGTGAGTAAATGTACTTACATGTCCCACCTTGTTGCCTTTTGAAATAATATTGTATATTAAGTATACAGTATTGTATACTTAATAGCATTGTCTATTACTGATCACTCATTTAATCCTCCCATAGTACCTTGGCTAAATTTGTCTATTTACAAAGCAAATGGCTTTCAGAATAGTGGACAGATATATACCTAACATTCAGAGCAGGGGATTTAATTCTGTTTGTTTTCTACATCACCTGAACTGCACCTGCCTGTCAAATGGAGATGGAATGTCAATCACAGGACTTTGGACTCAATGACTCACTCCTCTGGGAATATATGAGTGACATGTGGAAGCTGCGATCAGTGTAGCAAGGTAAGAGAAATAGATTGAGTGAATGAAAACGGACAGTGGAAAGGTAAGGATGCTCCAATTAACTAGATTATTAACTGGATATCCTTTATATCCTCTTTGTGGTTTGGCTGTGGATACGGGGATGTGCAGAGAGAACATTTGACTCTTGAGTACTGCTCAAAGAAGATTTGATACTTTTTTTCTAGGGGCATTAAGTTTGTGGTTGGTGTCGTGTAAAACAAACAAAAAAGCTAACCAAGGTAGCTTTAAATCAAGATATATGTAATAGTAGCAATACCGGACAGTTCAGCATTCTTAACCTCTTTTTATTGGCAGCACTGAAACAGTTCTTTGTTTGCATTAGTGCTAACGTGACTTTGGATGTTTTCAGGCCCTGAACACAACTTGTAAGCAGAGCCGTCCAAGTTTTGGCAGGCTTTTTTTTTTTTTTTTTTTTTTTTTTTGTTAAACTGGCAGAAGGCCCATTGCTCACTTGCAATTTAGATTTTTTTCCCCCACATGCCTCTCTATATACAGCTTGTTTACAGCAAAACAATAAAGCCTCCATTCATGGCCAAACCCAAACTTCGGTCAAGTCATCAATAGGGCAACAGCTCCACAGGCTTCATGATCCGTTGCATATGGTGATGGCTTAAAGGGCTCTATTTGCCATGTGAGTTCTTAGGAGTTGTCTGGGAGTACATCTCAACTCTAAGTTACCATTTTGCCCTTGATATTAAAGCATAGAGACCCGGGATAGCTGGGACTCGGGTACAGTGTTGACAGATTTGTCACATTGTGCAGGTTTTCTTACAGTAACTCCCTGTTTTGAGAGACCTGTACTCCATAAAAGACATGCATCAATCATGCACTTCAGCTCCCACTTTTTTTTCTCTTGTTCGGCACAGTATGTGAGCTCTAAATACGGATCATCTATAGATTGTCTATAGATAAACTCAAGAACATATGATTGTAGAACACTCACTTGATGATATAAGCTGAACATTAGACATGTTTAGTTCCTAACACTGCAACAATCAGTAATGAACTGTCAGATGGGTTTTCAATCAAGTTTAAAGGTGACATATCATGAAAATCTGACTTTTCCAGGTTTTAAGTGCTATAATCAGGTACCTGGTGCATCTACCAATCAAGGAAATGTGAAAAAGATTAACCCAGTAACTTTGTTTTGGTAAGCCTTTTTCTGCAAGCGTCTGAGAAAACGAGCGTGTCATCCCTTGGTGACGTTGCAAAGGGATCTCATTATAATATTACCGCCCCTTAATCTGTAAGTTTGCACCCACGGCGCCGTCATTTGATTTCGCAAACGACAACGGTGTACCAGTTCTAATGTCATGGCGAAAGTTTGAGCAAAACATGCTAACTGTTCTGTCTTTGGCTGCACAGACGAGCACATAACTCTATTTAGAGTCCCAGCCTCAGAGGAGACGAGAGAGCAGTGGATTTATTGATTTATTTAATGTATATTGCTGCTGCCACACAGATCTAAAATAAACATGCAATTTATTTCCCAGCTGTTTAGCTTCACAGACATAACCGACTGTTTCTGTAACTCGTGTGTTTTTAACGTAAACTTGTGTGTGAATGAGAACTTAGTTTAGTACTCACATGCTGTGACAGCCGCTTTCTG